ATGCCGTCTGAACCAAGGGATTTGGATGGCTTGGATATTGAGATAATTGCTGATAATTGATATTGGTTGCAATTATATTTTAAGATTCTTGGATCTCCAGATAATTGCTCGATTGAATTAGCGGCAGAACTGCAATGCACATTTTTTTGGCATCAGAAGGTTCGATGTTATTGAAAGAAATAGCAAAGATATTTTCATTTCTTTTCTTTTTATATTGCAGTGTTTTTTTTTTATATATTGCAGTGGTTAAGGTGTTCTAACCATTTAGAGAGCCTGTGCTCAATGACTAAAGCATTTATGGATGCCCTGGATGGATAGTTTGGTCTCATTAGAGGAATCCTGCCCGCAGGAATGAAGCATTTTGCCGCTTTTTCACGGAAAATCTTCACACCCTTTCTGGCACTACGGATGGCGGCATAGGACTTAAGGAATCCTTCTCCCAGGGGGGAAGTCAGAGTATAACAAAGTTTGAGTCAATTTGTCCACGTAACAATTTTATTATAAATATTGCTCTACGCACTAATCGCCTTCTTTCAAGAGTTGGAAGATCAATCAGTTTCAGACGGTTAACGTACGGTGGAAGTGCGTCAAGTTATTTCCAAGGTAGTCCCCTAAGAGAAAATAAAAGAAACTGGGTTTGAACCGATTCTATTTTATTAGAATAATTTTTATAAAATGGGCTCCAATGTAGACATCCGTATTTCAATGTGGGTCGAACAAGGCTAAAGAATGGACGTTTAGTTATATACGATTTAGTTTTATTAACACATGATTCAATATGTAAATGAAAACGCAAAATGTTATCTAAAATGATACCAAAATCTGTAAACGAGTATACAGAGTCAAGTTTATGAGAGAAAGTAATCAATAGATATGGTCCTGGTCCTAGAAAGAGTTAATTTTTTGCACTTCTTAAGGTTTAGCGACATACCATTAGCACTACTCCAGTTTACGAACGAGTGTAGGTCATGTTGCAAGTTTAATGAGGAGTTAAGTGTATTTAGACTACAAAAATTTTCACATCATCTGCAAACATTAAAATATTAGAAAACCGGATTACAGATGAAAGATCATTTAAATAAAGGACAAAGACTAATGGGCCCAAATCAGGGACGTACGCGAAATGAATTTTTTTCACAGTAAATTTTTGTTTGCAACAGTGAATTTTTTCGTTTTGTACTACCGGGCCCCCCCCGAAATGAAATCCTGTGTACGTTGCTGGCCCAAATGGTTACCCTAAGGAACACCAGATAAAACACTGATGTCATCTGAGAGAAGTGGATTGAAATGTTCTTTTTGAGTACGATCTTGTAAATAAGAGGAAATCCAGTTAAAAAAGATAAACTGTGAACAACAGTATCGAACGCTTTATTGAAATCTGTATAAATTATATCAGTCTGCAGTTTATTGATAAATCCGCAGTTTATGTGAGCGTGATACATAAGCTCCATTAGGTTAGTCAATGTAGACCTCTCTCTTAAAAAGCCATGTTGAAAATGAGATATAGCATCGTATAGATGATACGAAGTTTGAAATTCTTCGAGAAACCAAAAGTTCAAATAACTTTGGAATCGCACTCAATTTGGCGATGCCTCTATAATTTTCAATAGTGCATCGACTACCAGGTTTGTGTGATTATATAGCTAGATCTCCAGTGAAGAGGAAAATACCCATGAGATAAGGAATAGTTAAATAAATCTAGTTAGTGGTAAGTACAATTCATATGCACAGGACTTTAGTATAGATGATTGGACCATCTGGGCCAGCAGAATTAGAGGTTTTTAGTGATTCCAGGCCATTAAATACTTCATCCTCCGAAAGTAAAAAATGTGAAAAATGGTTTATCTTATCCATATGGTAGTTATAATTAAAATTAAACGGAAAGCTTAAATATTTTTTCTAGAAAAATTTGGCAAACATATTTGCAATATCAGAGAATTATTAGATGATTCCATACTACCAAGTTTAATATAGCTGGGAAATGACCGAACTTTACGTTTAGTATTAACGAATTTAAAAAAAATCTTTCGGATTAGTTTGTAATCTACTTTTTCATTTTTACTAGATATTCTGAATAACACTTCCTATTTTCAGTATTATACTTATATCTAGCCAAAGAATATATCTGACATCTCGCTGTATGATGAATGTTGTTTTCATACATGAAGTTTGTAATATCAATTACCTTATTCCTAAGACCATTGCAATTAAATTGCATGATTAGGAATGAGGTATTTGGATCACTCCCCTTTGGACTGCAGCTGTGGGTGGCCTTGTGGACTCTACTGGATTCTAGAAGATATTGCTGGTTTATTAATGCAGCAATCGGCAAAGCCGGAATTCCAATTCCTATTTAAAGGCAGGGTGGTACATCTTCTCATGTGGCACCAATTACCGCAAACACTGCATCTTACAGACCTTACGTTTCCCAGCGGATTAAAAGACATGATTTTCTCACTTTCGTTTGGTACAACTGCCGCTGAGTTGATTGTCGTGGCAACGCCTTACCTATGGTTGTTTTTTATGGTGACGCTTTTGTCCCAGATAGATAGTGTATAGCGCACTCCTCAAGTTGCTTTAAATGCGATCATAAATCTAATGCCCCTTGATTTACATGTGAGATTTCAAGCAACTAGAAGTGCAATGAGACTCAATGAATCAGGAACGTGGCGAAACTTACACCTTGGACATGCAAATGTCATAACCAAGATGCCAAATCGTGATATCTCCATAAATGAGCGTAATTTTAGTGGTTACATTCCCCCTGCCACAGTTTGAGGATTTTGAAATACATATCTCAAGCAGGGAATCCTGAGCGAGTGGGTTACCTCCTCCAGACGGTATTTCAATTTATACAGGCGGATCTAAGATGGAGGAAGGCACAGGCGCCGGGGTCTTTTGCGATAAACTCTCTATTAAGAACTCATACAAATTGAACATAAACTGTACAGAATTAGTCAAAGAATTATGTCGCAATGATCTTGGACCAGTGACTACATATGTCGTTGGTCAAGCGGCCCTACAGGCTATAAAGTCGCGAACTATAAATTCTAGAGCAGTTCGAGAAAGCAGAGACGTTTTGCTAGATATACGTCTTTTTGTTAGACTTTGTTGGGTTCCCGGGCTAACGAGCTTGCTCTTACTGGCTCGCAGTCGACCAACAGTTGACGCTACTGTTAAACCAAGTCTCAGCTATCACATTGGTAGAATCCAAATATCTTCTTAGAGAAAGCGGGACGCAGATGACGGGAGGAAACCTCATGTAGAACCTCTAAATCCATATTATTTCCAAATAGGAAGTTAATGTTGTGGATTATTGCCGTCTATGTGAGGACGAAGAAGAGACAGAAACGATTGAGCATGTTTCTAAAACAAAAACTTCTGAATGAACGGGAGGGACATAAGAGGGAAGCAGAAGTAACGGTCAATAAACATACCACAAATAAAAATAAGAAACTAAAAACAAAAGGCAAATGTAATGTGTGCGGAAAAGAGAAAAACAACGAGCAACATTTTGTAAGAACATTCAACAAGTCCGGTGCTAGCATTAAGAATCAACATGATATAACCGTGTTGTTTGTGAGATCTGTTATCTAAAGCTTGATAACAAGCTTTGTTTTGATAACCATCATTTATTGTTCGTGTGGCACGGTTATATAACACTTTACCTAGTGAACTTAAAAATTTTTTGTGTTGCTCCCGCAACGTTCTATAAAAAAATTGTTCGCCACCTGTATTGAGCTTTGACATTTCCTATTGCACTTATTGATGGATGTTAGAATATGTACGTTTCTTTAAATAATGATTTTTTTTTGATTGATCTCATATTTTATGTTTGTTAATTTATTTTGTTAACTTAAATTTGCATATTAGAATAAGTTTTTTTATTTGGACATGTTATGAAATGTCCCTTTGTTTGAGTAGTTAAATCAAACTGTTTTGCATAATGTATTACATTTATTGGCCTAAATGTTTCGTTATACATGTTAAGATTAGAATAAATAAATAAATCTTTTTTTTTCAATCAATAACGATTGACACAACAGGTATGGCCACTTAAAATAGCGATGCTCTTTACTTTTTCGTAAAAACAAATCACACGTATTCTGTCTTAATTATGTTATTAATTATAATTATGCTAGTAATGTAAAGAGGGAATTTAAACTAGAAGATGATGAGAAATTTAAGCAAATTCAGTATTAATTGGAAAGACAAATGTGGAAGATAATAAAAACACTGCAAAAAATCTACGTAATAGAAGCCCGACGAAAAATTTTGGCAGCAAGAAGAGTTTCAATGAATGAAGAGTTTCATGGTAAAATTCCCTATGTTTTACTTTTTAAATGATGTATATGTACAAAAGAGAGAAAACGAATATAATGATTAATATAGGCGAATACGATTGTAGTAAACTCTTCAACATTATTTTCATATGCCAATTTTTTATTTTTCATCAGTGCGAAGTATCCAAAGTTGACTTGTGTGGGCAATAAGGTGAAGCCTCTGGACAGAAGGGGTAACAAGCACTTAGCTGTTGATTTTCTTTATACATATATTTTGGTAACAGCCTTGCAAGTCCTTTAAATGGCCTTGACTCATTATCACCCTGTGATAAATAATCTTTTTTTTTCATGCCCTCAGGCATTTTCTTTTGCAATTTTGAAATAGAATCTAAAGTTTAGTTATTCAACTGCATTGTAACATATTTTTTGTAAAATACAGTCGAGTACGGTTACAGCGAACAAGTAGGGAGCAAGCAAATTAGTTCGTTATAGTAGAAGTTCGTAATATCCATTGTAATGCAAAACAAGAAAACCCAACCCGTTTCTAAAGTCAGTTAGAAACGGGTTGGTTTTGTGTCCTTTTTGACAATACTTAAGATGCTTCTCTTTTTCTTTGATAATCGTGACAAAAATCAGAAATTTGGGGAGAAATCTCCTAAACTGGCAACACTGTTTGTGCTGGAAAATTTATATTTGTTTTTGAATAATTATACTTACTGATCTGAACTTTGAATCATTAAAAATCCAGTATTCGATCCAGATTCATTGTCTTTTGAAATATTTAACAAATCATAATCGCACTCATCTTCATACCAATTAGGCGATTCTAACAAAAGTGAAATATTGAATTCCTGGACTTCTCTAGGATTTGCAACAGCAATCATACTGGATGAACTGTTATTTAAACAAAATGCTAGAATTGCCTCGTGGTCCTTATGTATGATGCGAATTGGCTCGTTAGTGTCTCTGCCTGACGAACTTCCTATAAAATGGGGTATGCTATTATTATTCCATGAAATAATTACATTATTTTACCATTATCTGCCGATTCTTGAGTTTGAAGGGAATTGTTATAATTGTTTTCAACTTTCTTTCCAAATATAACTTTAATAAATACATCCTGGGCTTCGTCTTGACGTACAAGGAAGTTCCATAATCTACGAACTGGACCAGCGGCAGAACTTGGAGAAAATGGTGTATTGTCTTTGCTTAAGAGCGACCTATATTTGTGTATTGAAAGTCCAGGTACTCCACTGTTTGAAAAACAGCCTACAAACGAAAATGTTATAATAATGATTCATATTAAAAGAAATATAGTAGCAAATAATTACCAGGAATATAATCCTCTCCAGGTGGACCTTTCGAAAGTAAAATTTCAAGAGCTATTTCTTGCCACCTACTTAAAGTCCTTAAAACTTCGTGGGACAATGGACTTAATACTGGTAAGTCTAATTGGAATAGATAATAAGTATCTACCTTAAGAAACCGGAATATAGTTAATATTACCTTGGAGTTCAATTCCTGAAATATTAACAAAGTCTTGCACTTTCTTGATGAATACTTTCATTATTGCAACCCTTAAGATGCACCAAGAGTATGACATCGGATCTAAATGTTCCTTATTTTCCTTGTCCTTGTTAACACCGCTAGTTCCAATGACATCATCATCGTCGCCTTCATTCTCGGATTCATAAGGATCGTCGGTGTCGTAATCATCGAAATCTGTAAAATAGGATAGTTTTATCATATGATATTGGTGAATTACTACTAATAACTGATTTTAAAACATCCCATTTATATCCAAAAGATATTAACGTTTAAAGTAGGTGTGTAGTACGATTATAATACGCTATTTCTCACAGCTACTCACGGTGAGAATTCATTTGCTTCCAATTTATATCTCGTTGGGTTAAATGTCGCGCGTGTCGTTTCGGATTATAAAACAGTGTTGCTCAAATTAAAAATGAGAGCGACTTTTCAATTACTACATCTTAGTGAACGCGCCCTTTTTCTTTAATTTGGTTCTGTTTTCTTTTTATGTTAAATCCCTGCAAGCATTTTTATCGCCTAAGTAAAGAAAAAGTCACGTGAATTCTGTGACAGCATCGTCGGCTACATTCGCTTCTTATCGAAAATGATAAACTTCACGGGAAAGGTTGTTGTAACAACAAAATTGGTATTTCAGATTTTAATGGATTTCTAACCAAAAATATAATAATATCAAGTTTATATATGTTTTGGTTATACCGAGCGTCGACTGTGTATGTATTCTAAAGCTCGTTGTTTTTGCGAATACTTCGGGTAATGTGGACTACAGTTTTCTTTTTTTTTTTTTTTTTGAAATTGTCGGCATAACGACCCACTATAGGTAATTTGTGCAGATGTTAGGCAAAAGTCAATTTCTCAACTTTGGAAAATAAAATTTTTTTATGTTTTTGAAAAGAAAACATGTCAATAAATATGATTTTGTAAGATTGCGTATTAAAAGCGGAGTAAACGAAGTTAAACTCAACACTTTGAAAATAAACATGGAGTATTTTAAAGCGTCTGAAAGCGCTAAATACAAAACAAGAAAATAAATATGAAACATTGAGAATATTTGCATGTAGTTTTTATTTAACATATAATATTCGTTAATTCATCTGTGTAGGGCAGAGCTCCGATTTCCTCGATTTTACTCGCGAGTGAAAAATACTCCCGAGTGGGAGTATGTAAAGAGTACGAGTTTTTTAGGGAGTATACTCTCCACTCTTTTATTTTGTTTGGGAGTGCTCGCGAGTACTCCTTGTTGAAGAAAAAGAGTGCGAGTCAAGAGTGAAATCGATTGGACAAATAAATTTGGTTGTTTGGTTTTTTGTGTGTGTGTAGTAGCAAAATTTTTTGATGTTGATCTTTTGTGTGTTGTGGGGAGATAAATCATGTTCAAAAAACATAAAAGGACATTGATTATTTTGTTTATTGAAAATGTTTACACATGTGAGGTTCAAAAAAAATTCTTATATGAAAATAACTTACATAAAGAGAACGCAGAGAACGAGCTTGTTGGTGCATGCTTTCCCAGCAGTACTGCAAACCAAACATCACAAAACGAAAATACAATGCACACAAACAACATCAAGTAAAACAACGGTGTCACAAACAAAAAAAATAAATAAAAATAAAAGAGTACTCGGCAAGAGTGTAATCTGCTCGATTTCGAGCGTATTTCACTCCCACTCGAAAACGAGCGAAGCACTTGCGCTCTTATTTGAGTGGCAGAGAAAAATAGAGTATACTCTATTTACTTTTTCTACTCGCAGGAGTACTCCCGCTCGAATTCGAGCGAGTTTCACTCTTTACTCGAATTCGAGCGAGCATTTCGGAGCTCTGGTGTAGGGATACAAAATTTAAATAATCAACGGAAAAAGAAATGCATTTGTTTTTACATTTAAGTCATTTTAGACTGATTTTTACAGAAATTATTGAATTTATCCGTTAATGGATGTTAATGAAAGGCTTTAAATTGTTACAAATAGGTCTCCAAATGTGATTTTTTATGATAAAAAAAAACCATAAAATTTTCGATATTTCGTTTAAGGAAGGAAAAAGTAAAGAAATATATTCCTATTTATAATGTTGGTAATGAAAACAATTTCGACGAAAAATACTTAAACTAAAGGATAATGTCAGGTTATTTCGCATACATTTTTTTCATCAGGGTAGATTAAATATCATAGGAAGATCGAAATTTTCGGCAAAAAAAAAAATACTGAATAAAATCGGTACTGTGCAACAACATCCCCCAGAGTGATAGTAACAATTAACACAAATCGAATCTAAATTTTTAAAGTAAAAACATTTAATACTACACTTAAAGACGGCAAATTCTGAAGTGATACGAAACATACATAAAATTAAACAAAACAACTTGAAATACATAAATACTCATAATTTTGAACATATCCAAGGTATATTTAATAACGATGGACATAGTCTCCGAGTGGACGGTTTTTACTAACAACCGTACATCCCTAACCTAACCGCATCGGTTGTTGGTGCAAATAAATGCCAAAAATTTCGTTGCAATACAGAACCAAAAAATTAAAAAAAAATTAATTACGAATAAAAATCTCCGAATTTTGACAAGCTTGTTTGGCAATACTTTTATTAAAATTTTCAACAAGAATTAGTATAAAAAAATCTTATTCATCTGTTTGTTTTGGCAAAATATTTTTGACATCAAAATACAACAACCGATGTTTGTTGTTGAAATTCGCCTATGCGCATACCTTATCGAATGCTTATTATCGTAATTTTCGATAAAACTATCGTATGAAGGCAGATTGATTTGTAAATTTGTAACAATATTTGGAAATATATGTCCACCACATACTACAATCGCATAATTCTCGATGTTCTAACTATTTTTTCATATTTTCATATGTCTTCCAAAAATTTTAACATCTCGTCTATAGATTCGTTAAATATATGGGCGCAATCATACTGCTCAAGTAATCGTGTTTCACAATATGAATGTAGTCGTTTGAAAGATATATTTGCTTCTCGAAACAATCTACTTAAACTAGCAGTAGCATTCTAAAGAATGAGAAAATGTCCGAAATTGTAGAAAATATAGTTCGAATTTTTCGAATCTATGAAGCTAAAATGTGAAAATGTGAAAAAAACAATGAACCTAGAAACGAATTTTGATTTAATAATGGTCTGCACTGACATGTTAGACGCGCCGTCATATCCTTGACCTCACAAACATTTTGGATCCAAACCCAAACTGATTACTATGTTTATAATGTCGGCATATTTGTTAATAACAACAAATATTTGAACATAAAGTTTAATATCTAAAACATTTTGTCTTTGTTATAAATTAAAATCATCCTGCAAGCGGAATTTTAAGCGATTTCACACATTATTGAAAACTTTGATATCATATTTTGGATTGTAAAATACCCATTGCAATTTTTGGATATCTTCTTCTAAATTTTAACATTTTTGAAAAACAATTTGTTATATAAAAACACAATTCAAGTTTTTTGACAACTTTGTGGATTTTTAAGCTTTTTTAGAAAAAACTGATGCAAACAAAAGGGTGAAATATATCAACAGTTTTCAAACAAATATTAACCCGAATTCTAAAAATCCAGGGAATAAAAACAATCATTACGTTTAAGATTAGAACCCAACTTTATATTGGAAGTGTGGGCACCTGTATTAAGATGATTACCCCCTAATTTACCACCTTATAACATGGATAAAACTCAACTTTAAGATGCTAAAAATATGGAGATAGCACACCGCAAATTTTATATAAGTCAACCAGTAGATCTTCTAATTGGAATGGATATTAGTCCACTTATACTTTCAGAAATCAAGATGACTGATACATTGTTACCCACCCCTTGTTAAAATATTAAGAACTTGGAAATTCAAAAAATATTGCACTTGCAAAATTTTATAGGAGTGAAAGTAAAATTTTGAAAAACCTGAACTCAAAGAAGTTTATGACAAACCCATTCTAGAATATCTCGAATTGGGACACGTGCATTTATAAAACCTGAGAAAATTACTTCGAAACATAGAGGGGTTTTTAATGCAACAAGTCCCACACCAAGCAAAAAGCGCTTGAATGAATTTTACAACAAGACATTATTTTGCAAGCCATAGAAATCTTAGGGTATCTTATGCACTTATCATTATAGATATGTGCTCCCTTGCTGAGTGAATTATCAGTTGGGCATTGCCTTCATTATTAATGCACAGTAGCAGCTCACACAAGACAATTATCTATGGAAATATATATTTATGTTAGGCACTTAGATATATTATGATCTATACTGTAAATTATGTTCATATTTTAATTAATAGTTATTACTATGCAAAAGGGAGATAAAGCAATGCACTTTGAACTTGTATATTTCTTGTATAACGAACAACATTTGTTCATATTTCATTTTTTATTTTTAATCAATACAATACAATTTTTAATCAAGACAACGTACTTGCGTGTTACGAGTAACATTTTCTGATTTGTAGTAAAAATTCGATTGTTTATGAGAGTTTTTCTACTCTTTCGAGCCAAGTTTAATGATCGAAGCTTTGTAATGAAAAGGAAAGCCACAAAATAGTATAAATAACTCACTTAAAAATGCATTCAAAATGATCATCAAATAAATTCAAGTACGTAAAAAATTCGAGTTTTTTCCAGTTTTGTTTTTTTCCGCAGTTCTATCTTCTTTTTTTTTCTTCGATCGTTCCTACGCCGAGGGGGGCCTCCTCCCCATAAAGTAGGGAGAACGTACACCCCATAATACGGATTATGGAGGGTTATTAATGTTGGGAAACCCCGGCTACAGTAAACATCTGCCGGTTATACAATTTAATATTAATTCAACACAACAATAAGGACAAACACAAACATCTGGCAACTGCTTGCACTCTACAGTTCTAAACGTAGAATATAATTTTTTATTACATGTATTGGATCAGATAAAGTGATGCGATTATACAGGTTGTTATATATTTCACATAGTTATCAATTTGACCGCGTAAAAGTTTTATTAAACATATAGATCTTAGCATTAAACGTCTTCGTTCTAGTGTTGGAAGATTAATAAGTTTTAAACGATTTTCATAAGGGGGGAGTGCTTCAACTGTACTCCAAGGCAAACCTCTAATAGCCTAGACAGACGACAGCCTTAATTTGCATTAACAGCCTTAATTCAAAT